ATTGTCGGGGATTCAATGGGTTCTCCAGGGCTAGACCGAGTCCAGCACCCGGCGGGGTAATTATCCTCGTCCTCATTGCTTCTCTACAACACAGCGGCAGCCGCAAAGGTTGGGAGCCGACACTGAAACCAATGACCCCAGTGGGGTCTTGCGCTCCCGACAGCCCGCGCCTGAGCTGGCAGGGAGAGGCAAAGACGTGGCGAGGCAGCCTCGTTGGTCACCGGGCTTGGAAAGAGCCTTTCCTGGAGCTTTGGGATGCTGGGGATGCCAGCCTGGTCCTTGCAGGGCTGCGATGCCCATCAGCGTGGGGGTCCCCGGCAAACCCCATGGCGAAGGGCGATGCGGCCAGGGGGGGCTCTGCCCGCCACGTATGGGTATTTAAGAGGCTGATGCCAGGATCAGGTGATTATCCTCCAGGAAAAGTTGCCTGTCTCTACGCCAGGAAGAAATTAGAAAGCAAAAGCCCTAAATATAGGGCTTATAAATGCTGCGTGGTACCAGAGAAACGCATGATTTTTGGAAGTTTTGAGGTCAGGGCTGGCTGATTGGGAGCTGTGCTCTCACGGGAGTTAGCCGGGGGGGATTTTTGGGTATAAAACCAGCAAGCTGGGGCAACCTAAACCTCCCCACACCCCCTGCAAAACTCTGGGAAGAGGCATTTCCCCGGCTTTTCCCAGCCCTTCCACGAGCTCATCCATCCTGGACTGTGGATAAACCCTTCCCGGGGAGGCGTCGGCCTCTTACCAAACTTGTTGCCGTCCTCGGCGGTGGCGGTGATCCTTTTGCCGTTCACCTGGACGTGCTTGCCGCTGGTCCGGCTGTAGAGCTGGTACTCCCTGATCTGCCGTCGGCTCAGCTGGTCGGTCATGGCACCCTGGTCCCTCACGTACTGGTTAAAATTAGGAGACGGTTGATTCTCCCCCTTTGTTTACAAAGGGAAAAATAAAATCAATTTGTTTTGGACAGCCGACGGCAAGGGGATGGAGCGGGGAGCCCGGCGGGGCGGGAGGGCTGGGGCTGGCCCCGGGGAGGGGCACAGAGATCCACCCGCCACCCCTGTCTGTGGGTGAGGGAGAGCTCCCGGCCATCGCCGGCCAGGCTGGTCCCCTCGGAGCAGCCACCAAAGCACTGAGCCGATGCTTCGGACCCGAGTGTGACCGGCATTGCAGGCAGGGAGAGGCAGAGATGTCATTTGCAACCCACGCAGGAGGAGGATGCAGGGGCTCACAGGGAAGGATGCTCTCCCCCAGGCACAGCCCACCATTCCCTCGGGAGAGGGGTCAAGCTGCTGCTCCCCGGGGCCAGGGGGACACTTGGCAGCATCTCCTGCTTGGGCAGTGCCTGCAGGTACCAGGGACGGGCTGGGATGCACGGGCTGTGCTTGCCAAGCACCCACTGGGACCCTTGTGGGGGTGAGTCCCACCTAAAGCCGGGCTGGGTGTCCCAGGAGCAGAGCCATCCCCTCCTGGTGCACCCTGAGCACCCACCAGCACAGGGAGCAGAGGAATAAAACACCTTGGAGCCCCCCAAGCAGCTCCGTGGCTTATGCCAACGGGGCAGCATGAATGCAGGAGGGTTACTGTATGGTGGAGGGCAGCTAATTACTGCAGACGGGGGGGGGGGATTAGTGCTGGGGATCACCCTCCGTCCCCACACCAGACTCCAACCAGCACCTCTCAATGCGACATCTTAGAGAAGCTTTGGTTTGGTCCCGGTGCGAGCGGGAAGCCGGGGATCAGGGCAGCACCGCAGCCAGCTGAGCCCCCCCAAGGGACGCTGGCCCCAAAACCGGCTCCGAACGGGCTGGGGGATGCGCTCCTGGGAGCTCATCCCATGGGGAGACCCAGGGAGCGTTTGCGGGGTCTGGCTGCCCATTCGGGGTGCATGGGACCTGCAGCCCCACAGCCCCCCGGGCCACAGCATCGCCTCGCTGGGTGGGAAGCCCGGCACGAGGGTCCCGGCTCTGCCCGCTCTTGCCATGGGGGGAGCAGCAGGATGGTGGGGGGCACTGCCTGCCCCCCCTGGCCCCCCACCACCTTTGTGTGCACCCGGGGACTCATTTCCTGCCAGGATCCACTTTAAAACCTTTAGGGCTGATGGAGGAGGTGGGCTGGGGGGGCGGCCCCGCTCCATCAAAGGCGGTTCCCTTCCCCTCTCATTTTCAAAGAAATAAAAGCATTTACCTTGGGGAAAGGAAAAAAAAAAAAGAAAGAGAAAAAGAAAAAAAAAAGAAAAAAGAAAAAAGGTCCTGAGCAGATATTAAGGCTACTGGGGCCGGCAGCTACGGGGGGTTTGTTCGGGCTCTGGAGCAGAGGGTGCTGATATGGAACAGTGCATTTTAATAGCCGCTGCCTTTCTAAAGAGCACAAAAAGGGATGGTGCAGCCCGGGGTGGGGAGGGGGGGGAGGTGGGAGGAGAGGGGAGGGGGGTGTCGAACCTCACACCACCCCGCTGGCTGGTGGGGGCACCAGGACCTGCTCTGCCCCGTTAACCCCCTCGGCAGCCGGCCTCAGCGTGAGCGAGGGCAGAGTCCGGCCCCGGGAGCTCAAGGCTGATGGACTTGGCACGTCCCTCCCGGAGCAAGGCTGCGAGAAACCTTATCGCCTGCCCCCGGGAGGGCTTCCCCGCTGACCTTGCCCCAGCCCTGAGCGGGTGGGAAGCCAGAGGGGTCCGGGATGGATGCACCTCCCCACCGCAGAGACCCCAGTGCCAGCCCGATGCAGCCCCCGAGGCCGGTGCCGATGGGCACAGCGGGCTCTGGTGGGGGCCCAGACAGCATCATTCCCCTACCCGGAGCTGGGTACCACTTGGGGTGGGCATGCTCCGGCCCCCTCAGCCATCAGGAAAGCCCCCCAGCAGAGCAAGGGGCACCCCCAAAGCGAAGGGTTAGTTGAGCGGGTGGCAGAGCGGGCGCCTTCGCCCAGCCCGGCTCCACGGCGCAGCCAGATTAGTAAAACAAATCCACGTACCTGGGTCTGACAGGAGAACATGAGGAGCTGGAAAAATCTGCAGCAGGAGACAAAAGAGAAGGGGAGAGAAACAGGGTGTTTTCCTCGGGGTTAGTTGTTTTCTCTTCCCCCCCC